AATTTATATTTGTCATGTGATTTTTAATTTACTCAATTCTGCAATTACGGGAATTAGTAATCAAATTAACTGTCTCCGCTATTTCTGTATTTAAACCATTTTTTTACTCCGATTGAAAAAAGAAACATTTTTTAAACATTTTAAATCATTTTTTAAACATTTAAATTGCTCTTTTTTTTTTAATATCATCTGTTCTTTGTGCCTAAAATGATCAACGAGGATACAGGTACACGTTTATTTTTTTATGTCACAATTGAAAACGGTTTCTAACTTCTAACTCTACAATTTCTAAACACATTAGACGTTCCCCTTCATAATAACCCTCAGAACGCGAAAGATACTGTAGATGTTCTACCATCCTTTCCCCTTCCTGATAGCCCTCAGCGCGCAAAAGATACGTTAGACGTTATACCGGCTTTTCCCCTTCCTGATAGTCCTCAGCGCACGAATTCTTCGCAATCCAAAAAACTTACTCCTCTTGAAAAAGCAAACAAAATACGACAAAAAGTGTTTTTAGAACCTGGTCATTCTGCTCTAGATTGGGCAAGGCTGAAAAATAGCGATGTTGATTTGACGGTAACCTATACTATTTATAACAATCGTGCTATTAATATTGTTTAATGTCGATATAGCATTAGTCGACCTAGCCGACTTAGTAAACTATGTCGTTTTTTTAAAATATTGGCTTAGTCGACTATTGATATGTACTAGCGTAAAACCCGAAACTTATCTGATTTGCAGACTTAAATGGTTAGAAATTGAACCATGTGATACATTCTCGTCGAGATATCGTGGGACAACTTATCGTAAGATGGGCAAATATAAGGAATCACTTGATGATTTAAATAAACAATTAAAAATTGATCCAAAAAATGCAAACACATTAAAAAATCGTAGAGTAATATATTATCAATTAGGAAGATACGAGGTGCCACTTGTAGATTTAAGTGGACCATTGAAAATCGAGCCAAATAGTGCAGATACATTAAGAAACGTGGAGAAGCATAGAGTACGATGAAAAGATACGAAGAATTGCTTGCAGATTAAGGAGTCGTGGGGTAACCTAGTATATGATAGGTAAATATGAACCATCTCTATTAGACTTAAATGAATTATGAAAGATCGACCAAAATAACACACAAGCATTAAAAGTCGTGGAGAAACTCATCGAATGAACAATCACTTGAAGATCATTAGCGTTGGATCCAAATGATGCAGAAGCATTAAGAGGTCATGGAGAAACTTATCGAATGTTAAGAAAATATTAAGAACCACTTGGAGATCTAAAATCATAGCAATTGACCTGAATAATGTACTTATATTAAGAAGGCGTGGTGCAACACATTGAACGATGAGCATGTATTTTGAATCACTAACAGATTTAAATAAATCATTATAAATCGATCCTGATAACGTATTCGCGTTAGGAAACCGTGGAGAAACTTATAATATGTAAATACGATGAAACAATTACAGGTTTAAATAGATTAAGAAATTGTGGAGACAGTTAATTTGATTACTAATTCCCGTAATTGCAGAATTGAGTAAATTAAAAATCACATGACAAATATAAATT